TCCCACATTTCAGATGACATAGCCAAGGTCTAATTCAGTAAATGATATTTAGGAAGCCTGTAAGTAGTAGCAAGTTCTTTTCTATGGAAAAGAAAGCTTATGTATGAACACCTTAGCAATCAAAAGAAAGAAAAGCACTATTTACAAAAACTTGGGTACAACAGGACTCTTGCCCTTTGGCCACTTTGTATGCAAGAACTGAGAAATGTAGAAAAGGATTTCCCTGTTGGGAACCAGATTGGAAAATGCTGAGTAGGTATGAGAGAGTGATTAACAGATTTATACCAGGGGGAAAAGTTCTTATTCAGTGTACTTGGCAAGCACATGCAATAAAGATCACATCTTGTGAGTCTCACATCTGTTCTCTTTCTTTTTGTAGAGTAGAAGTGACTGGGATTTCAGCTAATATCATTACAGGCACTTTCAATCAAATTCAGTGAATTGAATGGAAGGAACATTTGTTGGATAGTTTTTATGAGAAATTAATCCAGGAACATTGAATGTGTTGCACTATATTGAATGGATTGAACATGGAATATATATAGTTAAGTGGTATACACAAACACACACAAACATATATATACACACACAATAAATACTATGATTGAGAAGTAAGTGGGACTCAGTGGCCCCACAACTATTTTACTTAGAGCGTCCAAATATTTTTATCACTGAAGAAACATTTTCACTTTCATTTTTGTCATCTTTATCATATGAAGGCTTGTAATTCCCCCAGTTCTGCTAATTATTACCACCTGTGTGACCTCAGATGTTACTTACTCATTCTGGGCTTCAGTTTTCTTTTTGAAAAAAAAAAAAAAGAAAGAAAGATTTGGCCTGTGTGATGTATAAACTCCCTTCTAGGTCTAAATCTGATGAACACTTAGTAGGCATAGCATCAAGAGAATTCAGTATTGCATTTGAAAATAGGGAGTGGTGCCATAGAACTAGAAGAGGACAAATGTATTTGTTTTCAAAAAAGGTAAGAGAATATATTCAAGAAGTTATGGATCAATTAGTTTGGTTTGGATTACTGGCACAACTCTAGAATGTTTTAGGAAAAGAATGGTTTGTTAACATCTAGAAAAGGAAGTGCTAATTACAAAGAACCAGCATAGTTTCATCTGGAAGGGGTCATGCCATTGTAAATTCATTCCCGTTTTTGAAAGCATTACTGGACTGTTAGATCAGGGGAATGCTGTAGGTCAGATGTGACTCAACCAGGTTTAAGTGCATCTGGGAAATATCTAACAAAATAAATAAAAATACAATAGAACGTAAATAATGTTAGTATGTGGTTTTCTAAGTCCATATGCAGACTGCAGAGATCTTTATATACTGTTTAGTTTATCCTTTTCTGTTTGAGATTGACATCACTACTGTAGGTGGAGTTTGCCTTGATTTTAGTAAAGCATTTGATAAAGCCTGACATGCTATTCAGGGTAGTTGGGTGGCAGGGTGGATAGAGTGCCAGGTCCGGAGTAAGGAAGACTCATTTTCCTGAGTTCAAATCTGGCCTCAGACACTTACTAGCTATTTGACCCTGGGCAAGTCACTTAACTGTTTACCTCATTTTCCTCATCTGTAAGATGAGCTAGAGAAGGAAATGGCAAACCATTCCAGTATCTTTGCCAAGAAAACTCCAAAAAGGGTCATGAAGAGTCAGACATGACTGAAAGGACTGAACAACACCACCATGCTGTTCAGGTAGGAGAGAAGCCCACAGATTACCTGTAGAGTTAGAGGGATTCTGACTTGGTTAATTGGCCAGTGTTAAAGAGTAATTATTAATGGCTTGATGTTAACTTGGAAGAAAGTCTCTCCTGGATTTGTTCCTTCCTCAGCACAGTTTGACATCTTTATCAGTGACTTGGAGAAAGACATTCAGGTAGAACGTGCTCCTTGAGTCCAGGAATTGCTTCTGGTTTTATCTTTGTATCATCAGTACTGTCCGTATAATAGGCTCTTAATAAATGTCAAATTGAATTGATGCCAGATTCATAGATAAATCAAAGGCAGAAGGGATAGTTAAGTCTTTGAATGGTAGAGTCAAAAACCAAAAAGATATGAATATAGGACAAATGTAACACAATAAATTTAATAGGAATAAATATGAAGTCTTGTTCTTGGATATTTAAAAAAGTGGTTTTGGAATTACAAGATAGCTGAGGGATAGCTAGAGAGCAGTTGGCATTAAAAATATCTGGGAGTTTTAGTGGACTACAAGTTCCAGATGAGTAAAAAGTATGATGTGATAGTTAAAAGAGCCAGTGCAAATGAAAGCTACTTTAAGAGAAACATGGAAGTCAGCAATAAGAAAGGAATAATCCTATACACTATCTGCTCAGACCATATCTGTGGTACTGTCCACACTATGACTGCTATAGTGGAAACCAGATATGGTCTCAAGAGAGAACTGGGTTTAGATTCTGCCTTTTAAACTATCTTAGTAGCACAATCATAAGCAGGTCATATGATCTGAGTCAATTTTATCTGTAAAATGGAAATTAATATACCTGTAGTAACGTCTTCACAGGGCTGTTGTGAGGTAATCTATGTAAAGAACTTTTTCAAACCTTAAAGCACCATATGAATAGTAGTAGTAGTAGTAGTAGCAACAGCAGCAGCAGTAGTAGTAGTAGTAGTAGTAGTAGTAAACAATGACTAGAAGGTGTCCTGAGGAAGGTGATTAGATGGATCATAACATATGTGGATAGACTAAAGGAATGGGAAATGTTGAGGAGAAGAGAAGATTAAGGTGGGCCAATATAGCTGTTTTCAAGTATTTGAAAGGCCATTGTGTAGAAGGGGCAGTCAGCACAGTGAGTGGAGTGTCTGGCCTGGAATCAGGAAGACTCATCTTCCCACGTTCAAATTTGGCCACAGATACTTACTAGCTATGTGACTTGGGCAAGTCACTTAACCTTGTTTGCCTTGGTTTTCTCATCTATAAAATGAGTTAGAGAAGGAAATGGCAAACTACTCCAGTATCTTTGCCAAGAAAACCCCAAATGGGTTCATAAAAAGTCAGACACAACTGACTGAATGAAATGAAAAATGACTGAACAACAACATTGTGTAGAAGAGAAAATAGATTTGTTCTGCTTGGCCTTAGAGGTCACAACTAGCAGAAGAGTATAGAAGTTGCAAGGAAACAAATTCAGTTTTGATTAATAACAAAACAAAACAAAACAAAACAAAATCCACCAACTCCTTTCCTCTCTGCTTGCTTCTGCATGAGACATGTTGCCTGCCTGGCAAACACTGTCTCAAAACTCTTCCATTGTTTCAAGACTCAGTTCAGGTACCAGTTCATCCAAAAAGTCTCCCCTCATTCCTCTTTCCCACCTCACCTGTTGCTTCTCTTTTCAACTTACCTTCTACTTATCTATTCATGTATATATCCTAGTTTTAATGTCCTAGTAAAATGTTTGTTATTTGAGGTCAAGAAAAGCTTTCCTTTTTTTTTTCTCTCTTTATATTCCCAACCCCACCACTATATCTTGCACATAGTAGATAATTAACATTTGTTGTGTTGAGTTGATAATTGAGACATGAGAAGTAAGGACGGATGGTGATAGAGCAGGGAAGGGAAGGGAAAGAAAGGGGTGTTATCAGAAGAGATGAAAAAGAATATCTTGAAATCATTTTAAAAATCACTAAGTTCACCTCAGATTTAGAATTATAAAGGACATTAGAGATCATCTAGTATCACCTCCTCATTTTATATAGGAGGAAACTGAGGAAAAGAATGCTTAGGTGACTTGTTGAAAGTAGTAAATAGCAGATAGAGCATAATTATGGCAGGGTTCCTGGGGCTTTGCACTAAGGCACTATGTAGTATTTGTACTCCTTGATCAAATAGAAACAACTGAGTTTAGCATCTGAGTTAGCGAGAACAATTAGTTTAAAAAGGGAGCTATAAAAAATAGGCTTCTTTTCTCCTTCCTTGAGTCCCAAGGCTTAAGGTCTCTTCTGCTTCCCTGTACTTCAAACTGAATGTGCCTTGCCACAGAAGCATTTTTGGCATGTGCCCCAGACTCCAGTATTGCTAGTTGTGGCTCTGGTAGCAGAGGCAAAGTGAGAACTCATGTCTTTTGGCCCTTTCTAGTAGGAGTCTTTCCCTCTCTAGCTATGAAGATGCTTGAAGAGTGGGCACTAATGAACGAGGTTATTGTGATTGACTTCCACCCTTATTACTTCCTGAGATGTTGATTTCTGTTACAAAATACGCAGACTTGTTTACTTATTACCTTTACACCTTTGGTTGCTCCAATTAAACCGAGGAGTAACATGAACTCCTTGAGTGAAAGAGAGCACTTGAGGAAAATGTAATCATATAAGCAGCCAAATTTTTTTTACTGATGTTGAATTTTGGTCCCCATGGAATATATCGGTAACTACAAACACTCTTCTTGCCCTTATTAAAGAAAGAAAATGACTAAGTAGGCAAACTTTGTGCTGAGGCAAATTGGAGCAATGCACCTCCATCTCTTAATGTGTGACATGAAAAATCATACCAACAGAGAGCATACCATCAATTTTCAATGGGTTTTAGTAAGCAAAAAGAAAAATTCAGTTTTTACTTTATTCTTCAATTGGAAGGTACGCACACCTCATTTAATTAATTTGGAAATATAGCTGAGTTCCATCGACTATCTTGTTTGCAAATCAGGTGCTTCCAATACTGATGGAAAAGCAAGTGATATTTACTTTGATATCCTTAATTATCCCCCATTTGAACAGCGTAGGTTGAAATCCACTTTTGGACTTGGTGCTTTAAAATCAGTCCTCAAAGGAAAGGAGTAGCAAATGAGACAACATGGGAAGCAAGGAAAAAGCCAGTGTAGCTCTGCTACAGGCAGATTATTTGTTGAGACTTCAGAGAAAGATGAAATGGAAATAAAAGGAACTTTAAGCCACATATGCTCAATATATGAAAAACGAATATAGTTTTAGAACATATTAATAGCAAATTAATATCACATTTTAAGACTTACTCAACATAATAAGTGCCATATATGGGATCATCAATTTTCTCCCAGCCATATGGAAGCTCTGAAAAATAAAGCACAGAAATCACATCTTACGATAAAAAGATGATATAATTTTAGTGTACAGTGACTGAAGATATCATACAATATTCTTGAATATAGTACTCAAAGGCAGTTCCAATATTCAGACACATATAACATCTGCAAGAAGCAGAAGCTTGAAAATTGGCAGTTACACAGACTCCTGGTCTCCAGAACAATACTTTTGGGTCTGGCTGTTTGTGCTGTGTCAAACAGCAAGAGTAGCATTATCATGGAATATATTATGAAATTCCACATATTATGAAATTACTTAATATTGAGGAGGGAGGAATTACTTCCTAAAAGTCATATAAGTTAGTATAGCTACACATTATCAAAAGAAACGTTGTTAAACAAAGTTCATGTTTGCAAAATACATTCCTGAGATGAGAAAATCATAAATGATTATATAAACCAAGACATTATTATACCCTAGACTTATTTCTCTTTATTTGGAATAATAAAATTTGAACTCATTTTATTATTTATTTTACAGTAGACAAATCAATGTCATTTTCTGATTTCCATCCACTATGGAGGAGTCACAGACCTGGGGATCTGAATTATACAGAGAGTACTCACACCAATGAAATTACATATCAAGCAAAGTGTCATTTTATTAACATTTAAATGCCACCAAAATTATTCTTAATCAAATTATTTTAAATAAATAAAATTATGGGTATACATCCCTTGATAATATTGTTCATATATTCACATCTTAGCAGTTAATATTAATGTTAGCATCTCAGAAAAAGCCATGCATTCAATTAGATTCAGAAATGTGATATTCAGTAGGCAAACTTGAAAACTTGATACTGACTTTTAATAATTTTCTCTCAAGTTAATAAGCCTTTAGAATGAATTCTCCTCCAGAGACAGAAGATAAGAGGTGACTATAATGAAAATATAAAGATTGTTTACTTGCTAAGTATTAGCATACTTTATTTTATGGATAATAATGTTTAACCCTAAATGAGATACACTGAAAAATGTTCTATGTAAAATACTTTTTTTGTGGCTGTTCCAAAGTCTATAGCTAAATATTGAAGGATTTAAAACATGTACATTTTGCTTAATACTTCATTGTTTGGCTATAATGTCTTGACTCTGATTACTTTCTAAAGTATTCATGTTTGAAGTTCTTTAATATACATTTAAACCTCAAGCACTCCTTAAGCATATAATCTAGACTCAAGATAATTAACTTTTGTATGGAAAAAAGTCTTTTGAGGATAATAGTGATAGACTAGAATATTATTTTTTGAAGAATTACATATTTTATATCTATTCAACTGATAGCAGATTATACATCAACGTAATTGTACTTACATATGTGTTTTTATTATTTGATTTGATTCCTATAGGTTAGAATAGGGGATAGGGACTGGGCTTTTGATTTCATTGGTATAAGGCATCTTCCTTGGGCAGTCAGGTGGCATAATGGTTAGAGCACCAGGCTTGGAGTCAGGATGATCTGCTTTTAAATCTGACCTCAGACACTTACTAGCTGTGTGACCCTGGGGAAGTGAATTAACCCTGTTTGCCTCAGTTTCCTCATCTATAAAATGAGCTGTGGAAGGAAATGGCAAGCCACTCCAGTATTTTTGCCAAGAAAATCCCAAATGGGGTCACAAAGAGTCAGACACCACTGAAAAAGAACTAAACAACAAAATTATCCTTCCTTCTGTGCCCTGTATTGTCACCTGACCTCCTTACATAAACTAAGGACCATAGGGCACAGACATTGACCTTGTCACTGTATCCTTAGGATTTCTGGGACTTTCTATCTTCCTGGCAGCTGAACTTTGTTTTATGGATTTTCTTCCCCAATTACAGTAATGAGCTTCTTGAGAAGAGGAACTATCTTGCTTTTCTGTGTGTATCCAAAACTTAGCAGTGTGCTAGGCATGTGATAAGTGGTTAATGAATGCTTTATCATTCACTTAATTTATTCATTTCTAGGTGAGGAAATTCCCTTTAGCAATGAAGGCCAGCGTCTTGTCTATAACCTACAGTCTAGAGAATTGTCCGGAGCACTGAGAGGTTAAGTAATGCCCAAAGTCAGCCAGCCAGACTTCTCAGAGCTAGGACTTCAACACAGAGCTTCCATTACATCATGCTCCCCGCAGTGAGCTAATGCAATAACACAGAAAGTCTGAATAAATATTTTTTGTCTCCAGAAAGCTATGGTTTTGATGCACATGACAGATCCAAGAAGAGAAGGAATGGTCTTAAAGAATTCCCATAAAACTTTCTCAGCCACTAAAATGAGTTATTTTAGACTAGCTAATTGCGCTTATGTACAACAAAAGAGTATAATCCTAACCAGATTAAGCATAGGAGAGTAGGAAGTGAAAGATGGTGGCGGCAAGCATGGGGGGAAATTGTGGATTGAAGACAATGAGCAAGGAGAGGTTGCCTAAGAAGAACGTTTCAGTAAGGCCTCTGTGATGTAAGGTAGTAAGAATAGCTGTTAGCTATTAGGTACGCTCTATTTACCACCAAGATTCAGAACAAGTAAACTATTTAAGTATTAATAAGTTAAATGAAGACATAGGAACTCAATTTATTTGGGTTGAAAGAGTTGCCTACATGTACTTTAAGAACTTCTTATGTATTTAAAACTACCAGATACCAATTCAATAAATAATGCCATTCCAGGATGATGAAGGGCTAGATATAGAGTTTAACACTTTGGGTGAAATTGATTATTATTTTTTTTGGTAGGGCTAGAAAGTCACTTTCTACCATTCAAAAGGTTTTAGTGAGTTGAGAAGAAGATAAAGAAAAGAACCAGAATATGGCAGAGGCTTTTATTTTTTGTAATACATTTGAATCCTGGAGTATAAGATAATTTTTAACATCTATCTATCTATCTATCTATCATCTATCTATCTAGAATCCTCATTATTCTATGTACAGTAACGAGCATACTAAACTACTTATAATACAACAACTACTTACACTAACGCCTAAAAGAAGCATAGTTAGCCTATAACATGAAAGTTAGTCTTCTCCATCAATGACAGTATCATATGGGAATTTCACTACAGAGACATAGTCAAATTCAGTCCTAAAATTGTCAAAAAAAAATTAAATGTAAGGGACCACAGGCCCAGTATGACCTCTGGAAAATTACTAGCGTTACAGCTATCAGGGCCTCCTTGTGATAAGAACAAATTACGGACAAAGCTGTACCTCTTCCTGG